TCCTCAGACCTACATAGGATAGTAATGAGTGGAGAGACACCAGGTGGATAATTAGAACATCACGCTGTGGAACCATTCAAAGGAGGTTGTGAACAACATTATATATTTATCCTTTTAGGATAAACAGCTGGTTTAGCCTATATATTGGGCTGAAAATGGAGGTGAGCGCATAATTGAGCTTTATATATTCCGCAGTCATTCATAGGTTGGATTGAATCCACCTGTTTGTACTATTATCTCAAGAAAGGAGAACTTTTCTCTTTTATTTGTTTTTGGACACTAGATGATGGGATATTTATTTGTTTGTGGATATTAATACACTAGTAATATAATTTTATGTTTTAAAGGGATGTTTTAAGCAATTTTTCACACTATTTGGATTATATAATTTTAAGGACACACACTATTTTGTAGTGTATTTATATTAGCACAGGAGCGCAGCACAATTGTTTGATTTTGTATACTTAGTCCAGGTAGAGTCATCAGAATGTGGTTTTGGGAGCATGCATAGCTGACAGTGTTTCTGCTCGGAAAGTATGTCCGTCAAGCAGGGTGTTAAAAGTACTTGTTAAAATATGGTTTAGGATTTATGTAAATGTTTTATAATATAGGGCCTGGGCGCTTGCTCAGCTTCAGAGTGCGAATGGTGGTAGATACTTCGGGCTCAGTGTCTGGAGACTCTAGCTGGTCTCGGTGGGATTGAGAAAGCACCGGCAAGGTAATATGCGAGAAACAAAAATCTTCCGCCAAGGTAGTGTCCAACTAGTAGTGTTCAGGCGTATATAAAGAGGTTAGATGCAACTGGAAGTTGTGTAAGATCTCGACCGGGTTTCTTGTGTATATGTCCCAAACCAATCTCAGCCAAATAGGTTTAGTGCACCAGGTTGTATTTGGTGAGGAGATGGCTAAAAGAAAGCTTTGCAGGACTAGTGGAGGGAGAAGCAGGGGATTTATCTAAAAATGGAAATTGGACTTTTTTTGAGTCTCCACAGAGTATACCCATACCTGTTATATAGGAGCATAGTATGAGACAATGGTAACAGCAGTGTCCATAAGCTGACCAGTGAGGATCATACAGTTAGGTCCATATATATGAACACAGGCACAATTTTCATACTTTTGGCTCTGTATGACACCAGAATAAATTAAAACTAAACATTCCAAATGAATTTGAAGTGCAGACTTTCAGCTTTAATTTAAGGGGTTGAACATAAACATCAAGTAAAAATTTTAGGAACTGCAACCATTTTTATACACAGTCCCTCCATTTTCACAGGTTCCAATGTAATTGGACAAATGAATATAATCATAAAATGTTCATTTTTAATATTTTGTTGAGAATCCTTTACAGGCAATGACTACCTGAAATCTGGAACCAATGGACATTACCAAAGATTGGGTTTCCTCCTTTCTGATGCTTTGCCAGGCTCAAACTGCAGCTGCCTTCAGGTTGTTCTTTGTGTGTCTTTCTGCCTTTAGTTTTGCCTTCAGCAAATGAAATGTATGCTCAATTCATTGGGTTGCGATCAGGTGATTAACTCGGCCATTGCAGAATATTCCACTTTTCCGTCAAAAGCTCCTGGGTTGCACTCTGGGTCATCATGTATGTCCTGCGAAACAGTGAATTCAGTGTCTGGCTCACCCTGCGAGCTTGGCAGAGTCTGATGAAGCCTCACAGGGCGCTCTGTGGTGGAAGCAGAGGAGGATGCTGGTGCCATCTTGGCTGGGGCCCAGGCTAGTGTTCTTGATGGACTGATGGTTTTCATCTTTGGCCTTGATGTCCCCAGAACAATTCCATTTGTGGCAGGAGGTACTTCGGAGCAGTGGGTTGGTATGTGACTTTGGCAAGCTCTATATCAGTGCTATTCAGTCCTCCAGCCGACATGCTTGTTTGGCAAGACTCCGCCGTTGTATGTCTCATGCATGTGTGGCAGGTTGTTTTTTGTTTTTGTTTTTTTTTTAAGATTGCATTGACTCTTGCCAGTACTTCAGCTTACTAGGTGTTACACCATACTAGTTTTCCCCCTACTCCCATTGAAACCTATTGCAATCTGCCAATACACTAGCTGGAAGCACCATATTTAAAAAATATTGGAATCTGCCAATACTTTAACTTGCCAGGTGTAGTTATTTGGGCTAATTTAGCCTTATAGAAAGCATTACAAATACATTGATTTGCAGACAGGAGACCTTTCACTTTTGGAATTGGACAGGCTCAATGGTGCTGAGTAATCTCTTTCGTGTTGACTGTTTAAATGCATTTTTTTTCTAATCAAATGTTTAGATTGAGAGGGGTGAGGTTAATTTGGGGATATTTATACACACCTGTAATATTTTTTTTTTTTTTTTTTAATACTGCTCAGGCTCTTTTGAATTGGGGTAAAAGACAAGCTCTCCGACATGTATTATTTAGGAGGATGATGATGATGGGGATGGGGGGGGGGAATTGGAGTGGCACCTTGGGCCCTGCTGAGAAAGGCACTGCTTGGAGTTTCCCTGGTGGCAATGATGTTGCCCATATGTTTGCCATGACTGTTTAGGTCTGTGTGTTCTCTAACTTTGTATACAAATTGTCATTTAGCTTACAGATTCTCATGGACCCGAGGAAGAAATCTAGTCTATCTGAAATGCATTGGCATTGAAAAGAATTGTACCCAACATGCTTTGATCCATTATCATAGCCTGATATTGTGTTTTCATGTGTAATTTTAACATATTACTAATAAATAACATTTTATAGATTTACATGTGTGCATAAGCAGAATGCCTGAAAAGTCCCAGCTAAACATAGTAAGATATATTTCAAGAATTAGCAATGTTGGCAGTCATAACTGAGATGTGACCACTTTGTTATCGTTTCTGTTGCTCTGTAAAATATGACCCGAACTGTGCATATTTACAAGGAATAGCAAATATGTGGCACAGAATTAAAATGTGGGATTCTTCAAAAAGTATGTTTTCAGACTTCAAGATCATACAAACAAATAGGGAGTAAGCCAAAGAAGTAATAGATATACTTAAAAAAAAAAAAAAAAGTATGATTTTTGAACAGATACTTTAAAACTGAAGAAAAATAAAAAATGTGAAAGCAAAATACTTTAAACTCAGTTTATTAGGAAAGTTCAAACCTGCTCTTACAGATTAAAAGTATTACGAACACGGAACAATGAGGCAAATATAGAAGCTAAAGGATTAAACATGTGGAACAGCTGTAAGTGTATGAAAATTGCAGATTCTGCAACTCAAGCTATGTTACTGTCAGAAACAAAACTACTCATCACTGTTATAAAAACCATAACAGCACAAGTTTTTTTGCCGATTTGAAAGGCTAAAGGTATTCCCCTACTAGACCTGCAATTTACACTCTAAAAACACAGTAACAGATGCCCCCTGCATACTCAAATCTATTTGTTTTAGGTACAGTAAGCCAGTGTTTATTGCTAGTCAGCCGTTTGCTACCATCTGTTATCCCCAGCCTAGACAACAGTGTTACCTTAATTTCCTGGTTCCTCGCTAAATAACACACACACAACACACCTTTCGGATACCAATAAAGAATCCAGACTACAAAATACCATGAAGCTTGTGTCGCCTAGATTTTTTTTTTAAGACTATACAGACAGCTTCAGAAAGTTTTAAATGCTAGTACTTTCAGGTAGCATTCCAGTCTGAACACTGGGACTTGCTGATTACACTGGCCCTTAAATACAGTAGGACTCAAAACTGGTATTGAGACTTGTCTTCAGAAGTCTTTGATCTATAGTATGGGGAAGGGGGGCAGAGCTCTAGCAAAACAAGGTAATGCTACATAACTGTGTACCAAGCAATGAGCCATATTTACTGGAAGATGTAATGCAAATACTACTTTTGCCATCTATACAGTCAAGTTTAGTCAAACAGAGCAAGTAACATACTGTGAATGCAATTACAATTTATTGAGTAAATAAAGTCAGTACAGCCTATGTTCGCCATTTTCTTTTTTTTTTCCTTCTTCAAATGAAAAGCACCAGCAACAACTAAAATAAATACATTTACAAAAGAGGGAAAAAGCAGAGATCGATCAAGATTTAGAACAGGATCTCCTGAGCTCATGTAAAGTACTACGTTTAGGCTGTTGCTGCACGTGTGATTTTACATGTGCACCATGGTATCATAGAATCAGTTTCAGGTATTACTCACAATAGTGTACTCCATATAGTAAGCCAAAAAGAAGGGTGGCAGATTAAAACGCCTTTCTCAAGTGAAGTTAAGTTCTAGATAACCACTATTGCTTTCTGCTACAAGACCAAAATCTGGGGGTGGGAACTCACTGACAAGCCCAGGGAGACAGAATGTGAAGACCAAATACCCTGTGTGGTAGGGGTCCCACAAAAAAAAAAACAAAAAATGAGAGCAATTTAAATCACTCTCCCACAAAGAAAAATCTTAACATTAATGCATGTGTAGCTTCAGCCTTAACGTTAAAAACAGCAGCACGGATGGAACCTCCTTTTAGGTTAGTGGTTGGTGCTGAAATGAGGTTACAATTGAAATATGAAGATGTGAATATGACTTGAGTGAATTGTCAAGTTTTATCTTCTGCTGTGTCATTATGCTAGGGAGACTATTGTGCAGCAGTGACAATGAGAGTCCTCTGTTTCCAAACCATAATGCATTAGATGCACCAGTGCATAAGGATGGGACTGATTGGTTCACAAACCAATCAGACTAGTTGAGATAACATTAGAAGAGAATTTGATTCTACTTCGTGCCTTCAAAGCACACAAGTCACAGATTTATTACAGTTTAATAGTAAAAGTCACACAAGATTACAATGGTAAAAACACAGTTTGGGGAGAAAAAAAAAATATATTTATACAGGACAAAAACATGCAGCAATAAACACCCTGCTGCTAATATGGTAAGCTGCTGAGCCGACTTGTCTATTATAAACAGAGCAGTGCAACTATTTGGAACAATTCATACAGTGTGTTATTGACAAAAAGGGACACACCACCAGCTCATTTCTCTTCACACCATTGGTTTTCTTTGCGTACCTAAAACACAAACAAAAATTGTAACCAAACATTAGGGAAACAGAATATTTTAAACAGCAAAATGTCCAATGAAAAGAGCAAATTTTAAATTATCAAACATCTATTTTGATCACTGACAAACTAATATCAGCCAGTAAACATATCTCAAGCATCCAGTCTTAGGCCTCATTTACACTTACAAGTAGGGCTGTTTGCAATCAGAGACTTAGTGATGGTTCCCTAGACTAGTTGCGGGTGGAAATCCCATTGAAAGCAATGGAAGGCTGACAGCACTCGCAGCTGCTTAAGCGTTCATAGAGCAATTACCTGCAAATGATCAGCCCTGGACGCAGACAGTCTGCGCCCCTGGGGTGAGGAAGAACTGTCTGCAACCAGATTTTCCCCTTCAGAAACATGGACAAAATGAGTTGAAAAAAATTATTATTTTTTAGTTACATAGTTAGTCTGGCTGAAAAAAAAAGACAAAAGTCCATCCAGTTCAACCATATTGGAACCAGTTGGGGGAAAAAAAAAAAAATAATAATTATCATCATCTTACTTGTGCCTCTTCCTCTTCAGTAAAGTCATTTTTTATGTTGAAGGTCTTCCTGATTTCTTCTGGTGTTTTGCCTTTAATCATGTTAGCCACCGTTTTGCAGGTGACATCAAGCAATCCTTTAATATCCAAATAGTTGGCCGCCTGGAGATGGAGGTTTAAAAATAAAAGTAAAAATCAAGTATTAAAAATAACACCAACACCACATCCTCACACTGTGTCTCATGGAAGATATGGAGCAAGAAAGTTCTAGCACAGACATTTTTTTTCATACCAAACAATAGCACCATCAATTTATGCAGCACTTTACATATATTGTACATTCACATCGGTCAGTGCCCTCAAGGAGCTTACAATCGAAATATCTTAGTAAACTTACACCATACTCACCAAAATAAGTTCAAAAAGTGTTCCTTGGTCAACTTTAAGAAACTCTTGGTCCCATACAGGAATATCATCTGTTCTCTTTTCCTTATTCTCATCATCCTCAGGCGGAGGAGGGTCATCTTTGTGATGAGTACACCACTGGATTACCTAGAAAATGGTACAAAATTAGAGTAGACAAATACTTTCTGCTGATGGATACCGTAAAAACTAGGAAGCATGCTTCTCGAAGCTGAAGTTTATTCTAGTGCTCTCGTTAAATGGGTGGCAATAGAATACATCCATACGTCTGGGAGTGCCACCCCCTTTCCCAGATTCTTTAGTTCTTCCAAGAATGGAGTGTTTTAAACATGCTGATTTAACAGACCATACAACTGAAGGAATTTAAAGTATTGCATAGGTACATGAATAGGTATTGTTTGAAACAGATAGCGTATGAAGAATGTACTGTTTAATAGCATCACATTTCCCCATCCACAAAGGGTTCTTAAACCCCTAGCCTACAGGGCACTTAAACCCCCTTCCTGCCCAGGCCAATTTCCAGCTTTCAGCGCTGTTGCACTTTGAATGACAATTGTGCGGTCATGAAACACTGTACCCATATGAAATTTTTATCATTTTTTTGAGACAGATAGAGCTTTCTTTTGGTGGTACTTCAATCACCTCTGGGATTTTTTATTTTTTTTCTTAACCAAACCAAAAACCACTAAAAAGTTAAAAAACAAAACAAAAACAAAACACCTTTTTCTTAGTTTAGTGATGGACGCAGATAGGTGGCACTGAAAGGCAGCACTCATATATGGCACTGATGCACACTGATCGGCAGCACTGACTGGCATTGATAGGTGGCACTGATGGGTGACACTGAAAGGCAGCTCAGATGGGCACTGATGTGGCATTGATATGCACTGGTAGGCACTGATATGTGGCATTAACATGGCACTGGCAGGTGGAATGGATGAGCACTGAGAGCTGGCACTGATAGGTGGTACTGCTGGGGCTACACAGATCATCAGGGCACACAGATCATCAGTGCTCTGATGATCTGTGTACATGTCCCCTCTGAGGAATGCCGATTACCGGTTCTCCTCTCCTCACGAGATGTCAGCGTGACAGCTCGTGAAGGAGAGAAATGCCGATAACCGGCATTTCCCTGTTTACATGTGATCAGCTGTGATTGGACACAGCTGATCACATGACCGAGCCAACATCTTCAGCTCTTTCCGTTGATCGGTGATCCGCTGTGTCCGAGGGACACAGCGCACCGCCGCTTGCCACGCACTCCCGGAGCAGCACATGCGTGGTTAGAATGGGAGGATGTCATGACGTCCTCCCAGATCGAGAGAACCGCCTTGTGCCTGTCATTGTACTGTATGGTGGGTGGGAGGCGGTTAAGGACCAAGACAATGTAATTTCTAAATTTAGGGCTAGTTCACACTAGATTCAGTTCAGAGTGCTTTTTTTTTTTCTGCATCAAAAATGCATGCACAGCATTTTCCATGTATTCCAATAGCCTTAGTTCACACCAGTGCAGTCAATTTCCCGTGCAGAAAAAAGAAAAAAAAAAAAAAAAAAAAAAATAGAATGCGGCATTTTTTCTTCACAGAGCCACACTGGAAAATAGAAAACTGCACCGGAACTGCATGTTATGTGAACTGTAAGCAAAAACCTATCCGGAGTGCATTTTTGTAATGTGAACTGGCCCTTATTGACGTGAGTGGTACCAACTGATTGTTACCACATTTGCTCTTTATACCAATTCACAAAAAAGGATATCTATACTAAAACTACAGACCAGTCAGGCTAGCATCAAAAGTATTCCAAAGTATTTGAAGGAATGGTAAGGGACTTCAGAAATTTACTGCAATAAAAAGGAATTCTAAGTGACAATTGGCACAGATTTATGATCAAGTGCTTGTCAAACCAAAATTAACATTAAGTAGTAACTGAGAAACTGGATGGAGGAAGTCAAGTGGACATAGTTTATCCAGGTTTTTCAAAAGCATTTGATACTGTATCTCAAAACAAGAAAACTAAAAAATAATGCAAAATAATGGCAACAGCACGAAATGCCAAGCCACAGATAACAGATTGCCAAATACCCTAATGCATTAAAAAAATGTTTTTGGTCTCATCTTGGCTATGCAGTAAAGTTTTAGGTCAGCGATCCTCAGGCTGGAGAAGAGACACTTACAGAGGGGAGGATTACAGTATACACAACACAATATATTACAGGCGACTCCAGTAGCTATAATAAACGGTTTACTCCAAGGTCCCTCAACATCATGGCGATTTAAGGTTTAACCTTAGATAGCAGAAAAGATTCTTTACTGTTACAGCAGTAAAAATGTGGATCTCTCTCCACCAAGTGACACTAGCCCAAGTGTCAACTTCAGGAAAAAAGTAAAAAAAAAAAAAAAATTGTAGATGTTTTCATTAGGAAGCAGAATATACAGAGCTTTAAGAATTATTTAGAGTGGGGAAAAAAACCCAAACCCCCCCCCCCCCCCCCAAAAAAAAAAAACCCAAAACATACACACGCGTAGTTTGAACTGGATAAATGAGCGCCTTTTTTACAGTCCTATAAATTAAGCAGAGCACTACATAATCAAAAACCCCTCATAGCTCCCAATATGTGGTAGAATGTAATGTGAATTGAAACGACACTATTTTCACTTTCCTCAGATTGTTTACAAAGCTTTAACATACCTTTTTTAGAATGGCAGCATTAACATTTGGAAGTGGAACAGGATCGTCGTCTCCCTCATCATCCATCCCCAAGTCTGAATAGAAAAATATTTAGTAATCAGGAGAAATGCAAAAAAAAAACATAGCGTAACAAGTTACAGTAAACCTTTCAAACTTAAAAAAGGTTTCCAAAAGAAGACGTGAATGTTGTGATTATCCTGCCTAGCATTAACCATTACTGAGGCAATGTGAAGGCCATCATTTCCAAACTCTCATTCTGAAAATGCTAGCCTTGCCACCCCTATCTAGTGTCTTCTGTATTTTAAGCCACTTATTTGGAACGTGTATGCAGACCAGGAGTTCTTACTACACAAACTATGGTTGCTCCACACACTTGCCTGGCTTAATGACTTAGGCCTCATTCACAAGGATTCAGAGGCCTGTATAGCAGGGGTAGGCAACAACCTAAAGCACAGCTCCATCCAAAAGGGAAGCTCCACTTGTCTTCCTCCTCCCCCCTCCGCTGACACATTTGGCACCTTCTTTTTTTGGGGGGGGGGGGGGGGGGGGGGGGGGGGGGGGGGGGGGGGGCGGGTACCTGGTTTTGACAAGTACCCGCTCCCACTTCCAGCTCAATGCGCCAGAGTGAACTGACCTGGGGGTTTAGTCCCCCCCCCCCCCGCAGGCTTCTGGGACACTTCACGAGTTCCAGAAGGCTGCAGCCCATTCATAAAGCACATCGTGCTTCGCTCATGGGCAGTAGGGACCCAGCTGTGAAGCCAAAAGGCTGCCAGACTCCCCCTTAGTCAAGATGGTGGCGCCAGCACCCGATAGCCAACTGAAGAACCAGCTAGGGTAAGGATACCGCAGGATGCCCGGACAGGCAAGTGCCCTAATATTAAAAGCCAGTAGCTACAGTATTGCAAAATATCGCCTCCGTACAACCTAACACTTTGATCGCATTTCAGAGGAGCCGCAGAGCCTGCTGCACTTGTGAATTAACCCTTAGGACTTGGTCGTGTATAAAGCTGGGGTTGGTAAAACCCTGCAGTCGAGTTGTGGTTTTACCTCCCCCAATCCCTACCCCCTTTAGCTGCTGAGGCAACAGCCAAAAAAAGTGTACAAGTGCCGCAGCAGAAATTAAACTTCCTGTTGCTTTTGGTGGGTGCTACCACCTGCCAATCGAGACCTATTCAAGTAAATAGGGCCACTCTGCAATGCCCCATAACTGCATGCTTCTGCAGGGTCCAAGAGGTTAAAGTAGACAGTGAGAAAGCAACACAACGTTGCCTGCTTTAACCCCTTGTTTGCTGTACTGCACAAGTTGCAGGGCACTTGCAGAGAGGCATCATTCACTTGAATGGGTCATGCTTGGTAGGTGCTACACCCACCAAGACAGGGCATATAACTCCTGCTGCGGCATGTTTACACCCCAGACCACTGACGCTAAAAGGGGTGCAGTTGGGGCAGGGGTAGTAAACACAATGGGGTTTTACATATGTAAAAAACAAAAAAAAAAAAAAAAAACTTTTTGTGCCGCTACTAGAAAAGATGGGACTATTGGGATAGCCCTGGCTATACCACTAGCAAAAAACAACAAACAGAAAATTGATGTTGCGCTAATCACAATAATGCCACAGACATTCAAAGACAAATAATGAGATGACAAGACAATAGATAATACACCATAATCAGTAAATGGAAGGAATATGGGCGTGAAGTGGTCCTCATTTTGGACTTTTCTTATTTTCAAACTGTGACCGTGAGCAAAAACGCACGGAAATGATCAGGGAAAAATAAATTATTAAGTAAATCACAGTAATGGTGGGACATTAGAATCCATCATAACAAATGAAATAATGTGAATACAACTGAAAAAGTGGAGCAGAATGTGAAAAATACAAAATAAAGTGCTTATATATTAAAAGTGGACAAACCAATTGTCAGAGAAAATGACAATAACAACGAACAGTGAGGCCAAAAAATGTGACTCTAAATGTCCCACCATTACTGTGATTTAGTTCATATTTTATTTTTCCCTGATCATTTCCGTGCGTTTTGCCCACGGTCTATTGTCTGTTACACCTTTTGGTCCTCATTTTGGACCTTTCTTATTTCACTTTTCCCTTCATTCCCATATTCCTTCCATTTACTGATTATGTTATGGTGTATTATTTATTGTCTTCTCATCTCACTATTTGTCTTTGAATGTCTGTGGCATTATTGTGATTAGCGCATCAATTTTCTGTTTATGGGATTTTACAATCCACCAAACTGTAAATGTAAATGAACCCTTACTATTCTGAGCCCCCTATAAGACTGCTTTCACACTGGTGTACTGTGGTTTACCTGCACCGCAGATGCAGCACATTGCATCTGTAACTTTCCTGGGTTAGCTGCGCTTCACCGTAGACTTCTATTATATTCCACAGGTGTGGTGCACTTCCTGAAAACGCACTAAAACACCTGCATTCAGGAGTAATGATGCGCTTTCAGAAAGTTCACCAAACCAGGATATAACAGAAGTCTATGGATAAGCGCAGCAAACCCGCAGGTGTACCTGCAGTACACTGCACCAGCGGTGTGGGTAAACCACAGTGCATCAGTGTGAAAGCAGTCCGATACTATTATGCCAAGTGTATTGCTCACACACGGACTTGAAGATCTCCTAACTCCTGCTTCTGGCACCACTACAAAGATCGCTAGCTGGGATAAGAGGTGGAGTGTAGTTGGAATCATTCTGTATGGGGCAGAAGCCAGCACCACAGAGGAGGCATCGACTTAAGCCACTCTTGCTCCTTACATCACCTTTACAAGTAGTCCCTCTGCTTTACACTTTGATGCTCTGGGATGGCAGGTCAGCAATCCCTGACCATGATCTACCAGTCACCTGGTCGCAATCTACTGGTAGATCGCGATCTATGGGTTGCCGACCCCCGCTATATAGAGTACACAAGCTCTTGTTTATTCATCTAGAGTAGTGTGAAGTTGCATGCAGCTGTAAAGGACTCACCCGGACAGGTGTACAGGGACAGAAATGAAAGACAGGAGAAAAAAAAAAAAAGTGAAGGGTTATCTAAAAAAGAAAGTTTTCAGTTTTGCTTTGAAAGCGTTTAAAAGGTGCGACTGATTCTCTGTTCTTGGGAAGCAGATGCCAACGTTTCAAAGCATATCAGGAGAAGGCACTGTCCCCTTTAGCATGTAGATCGGTTTGAGGGAGACAGAAGACAAATATTACAGGAGTGAAGGTTACCAGGAGGGGGAGTAGGGTGATAAAAGTGCAGACAGATATTGGGCTGCCAAGCTGTGCAGAGCCTTAGAGGTCTTCTGAGTCCTCATGCTAACCTATGACAGGTAACCAATACAAGGAGTTAAAGATAGGAGTAATGTGATCACTTGCACTTGGCCAGGGGTCTCCAAACCTCAAGTCCAGTAGGTTCTCCCCTCTGCACTGACTATTGCCTGTATGGGTCTGCGGACCCCATTTTTACATGAGTAGGTTCTCTGTGCATTTTTTATATGTGGCTGGGAGTACCAAGATGGCAGCTGCTGACAGTACCGGAAATGGCGTCACCACGCTTCCATTCTACGCGTTGAGAGTCACGTAACTTCATCAGGTCATCAGAGCCTTGATGAAGTCATGTGATGCAATACGTAGGACAGAAGCATGGTGACATCATTTCCTGTACAGTCGGCAGCCGCCATCTTGGTACTTCCAGCCACATACACCCTCCAGTTTTTTTGTTGCAGTGATTGCCTGTATGGGCCTGCGGACCCCATTTTTACATGCAAGTAGGTTCTCTGTGCATTTTACAGTAAAGTCCATTTTAAACTTACTACACTATGGGAAATTCTCTTGCTTGATCTTCCATGTGAGGAGATAGATCTATGGTCATACCCTTATTAAGGATATCGGAGTTACGCCAGGGTGTGCTTGCCATTAAGAAGAGTCCTTGCTTTCTTTACCACTGGGATTCATCTTGATTGAGATAATCGGTTTATGCATGTGCCTTTTGACCCCTTGTGGGTCGCAGTTGGAAGGCGAGTGTGCACGCTAGCTGGTGAAGGGTTGCCCTTTTGCAGGGATCATGGATGTCTCACGGCTTGTGTTGAAGATTCACTGTTTTTGAAGTTTTTTGGGACTATTTGTATCCATTTATACATTTCTTTTATCTATTGACCACGTATTCACTTGGTCGGTCACATCTTATTGTGAATTTACGATTTTTGGCCACATTTTTACCTCTGTTGCCATCTGCTACACTCATTGTTTTTTCACATTTGTTGCTTTTTTAGCATTTATTGGTTTACCTGGGTTATATTTTTCACTATACACATTATTGATTTCTATGTTTATTGCATATTAAAGGCGCACACCTATTAGCAGCCAGCATGATGTGGATATCTGTTGGTTGAGGCAAAATTTACAGCAGCCAGGTCCTCATGAGGCAAAAGAGCTCACAGGGGTGGTGAGAGGACCAGTGCCCAAGAAGATGGCTAGTAGGAAAAATGCCTCGTCTCTAAGGAAATCAGCTCGGCTTAGAGGAAACTGATTTTGATGAATTATACTACAGGACAGCTTAAGAAAAAGGTGTTTGGAATCAGGAGGAGTAAGGCAATTGATGCACAAGGAACTATTTACATTTTATTTCAGCTTTGCCAAAGTGTTTAAAAAGGAACATTTAGTTCCAGTTTCTAAATGTTGAACACCGATCCTAATGGGGAGTGCTGATTGGAACTTCAAGCAGGCTGGAAGTAAGCGCACATGTGAAGCTCTTTAAATAAGCTGCTAGCAGGCTTCAGCTGACTTTCAAAGTGACAATCACCACTACCACAAGGATCTGTGTATAACATTCCCAAACAGGAGCTGAAGGGTGCTTTAGATGCTTAGAGAAAGCTGGTCAAAAGTTGCCGAAAGCTTTGCAAAAGCTTGAGAAATTTTCATAAAAGCTTGCTGTTCACACTGCTCCTATACAAGCTGAAGCCTGTGTGAAACAGGCCTTAGAATCCTGTTTAATATGCATGTACAGAACTGTGTAAAAGTTTTACGTAAGTGTGAATAAATGCTGTAAAGTATGAATGCTTTCAAATATATATTTTTATCAAATTTGCACATTGCAAAAAAGGAGCGAACCAAAGGAAAAAAAAAAAGTAAATCAAAATCAATATTTTGTGACTACCCTTTGATTTGAATCCAGGATCAGTTTCCTACACTTACACGAATTCAGGGATTTTGTAGTGTCAGAGTCAGATGTCTGATTAACCAATTACACCAAGCAGGTTCCAAAGATCATCAATTTCATTTGTATGTTGAAAACAGTCATTAAATTAGCTGAAACCAAAATAGTTGTGTAGGAGGCTTGAAACTGGATAAGGAACAGTCAAAACTCTGCTACTAAAGTGAGGTTGTTGAAGACTATTTCTTGTCAAGGTTATACACCATGGCAATACTGAGAATGGCAACAAGACACAAGGTAGTTATACTAAATCTGCAAGGTCTCTCCCAGGCAAAGATTTCAAAGCAGACAGGTTTCAAAATATGCTGTTCAAGCTATTTTGAAGCGCAAAGAAGCGGGCAATGCTGAGTACTGCAGACGCAGTGGTTGGCCAAGGACAGTTGAAGCAGCAGATTTAGACATATCATGCTTACTTCCCTGAGACATCGGAAGACATCCAGCAGTGCCATCAGCACAGAACTGGCAGAAACCAGTAAAGACTGGCCAGAAGTGGTCTTCACGGAAAAACTGCAACTGCAGTTAAAAGCCATATCTCTGACATGGAAACAAGGCTGACTCCACTATGCATGAAAATATAGGAACTGGGGTGCTGAAAAATGGCAGCAGGTGCTTTGGACTGATTATTAAAAATGTGACATATTTGGTTGTAGCAGAAGACAGTTTGCCAAAGGTCTGGAAAACTGTACAATAGTGAATGTCGGAGATCACATGCCTCTTCTTCACAGCAAAAAATGTTATAACATGAACATGAGTTAAGAAAAAGAATCAACCCCTTCAGTGCTAAATTTCAAAAAGTTCAGTGAATAGAAACAATATTTTTCTGATTGTTTGGAGTGGAATAGATCTGCACAAGAAGAAAGTGAAACTAAGTGTGAGGAGGAAGGGGCTGACAGTCTAAATTTCTTAAAATATATATATTTTGTTTAGCCAAATTAGTTAACAAACATGGATGTTTGTTTAAGCAAATAACATATTCTGTAATGTTATTGTTTCAGTTGAATAAATCTATTTAAATTGTTAAGGTAATGATTATTTTTCTCCTTCCTAAGTACAAAAAGTTGTCCAAATATGAATGATTAACCAATTGGGGATAAAAAAACTAATATGAAAAGTTGTTATTCTAAAAATTTTCATCTACTTGCATATTAAAGTTATACCAGCAAGAATTAGTCTATGTAAAAAAGTATGATTTAAATCAAGCCTTACTGACTAGTGATTTAAATCGTGATTTAAATCAGTTTGATTTAAATCAAATCCACCCTGGCAGGGATTACATGAAGAGACAAAAAGGAAGGATTTGAGGCAACCTACATTCAATGAAGATCTGTGGTTAGTTCTCCAAAATGTTTGGAACCTACCCAAGTTCCTTCAAAAACTGTGTGCATGTGTACCAAGAAGAATTGATGCTGTTTTCAAGGCAAAGTGTGGTCACACCAAATATTTATTTGATCTCATAAAACACTATACCCAAACTAAAATTTTATAATTTTCTTCACACAATTAGAGCTTTCTTTTGGTGGTATTTAGGCAACACTGGGGTTTTTATTTTTTGCTAGAACAAAAAAAAAAAAAAAAAAAAAATGACCAAAAATGTTAAAGAAAAATGTGGGTTTTTTTTTTTTTTAGTTTCGGTTATAAAAGTTTGCAAATAAATAATTGTTATTCATTAAAATTTAAGCCAAGATGTGTTCTACTATATGTCTTTGGTGAAAATAACCTAAATTAGGATGTATTATTTAGTTTGTAGGAAAGTTATAGAGTTCACAAACTGGTATATATCTGAATATTGATCAATCCTGAAGTACTGATGGCCAATCTAATTTCTTGAGGGCCAAGAATGTCAGAACAGTACAGATATCCCCTAAATGACAACCTTTTTGCAAAGTAGACAGTCCGGTGTATTTCATAAGAGGCATGGCGAGTTTTTTTGAAGTTGTAATTTGTTTGGCAATTTTTTGGAAAATGAAAAAATTTAAATTAATTTTCACTCTCTTTTCACATACTGACACCAGCACAGTATGGCGTCATCATATAACTGGCATGGCGGTGATCAGGGACACTGACTGGTGACAGTACGAAAAAAAAAAAAAAAAAAAAAAAAAAAAAAAGTGATTAGTTTTAATTATTACATTTTTAAAGATTTTTTTTTCATATTTCACTATGACCAAAGTAGTACAATGTTACTATAGTAATATTGTACTACTTTGGGGAAGTGATCAGTATTTTTTTTATTTTTACACACTATTTGCTTATAGCAAATTACCTGACATCGATTCATTCAGGGTTTTTTTTTTTGTTCTTAGCTGTGATTTGGCCATGGCTAATCACATGACACAGCTGGGCTAGGATTGGCCCAGCTTGTGCATATGATCGCTGTGACCACTGACAGCTAGACACACTTTGTATACAATGGAAGGCTTCTGTAATGCCATCCATTGTATACAACTGTCATGTGACCTGCTGTGACTGGTCACAGCGGTCACACTGAAATGGGGGGCCGGTACACAGATCTGTCATCGGCCGTGTCAGAGGTACATGGCCGGTGTCAGATCGCGCCGCAGGGTGGCCCTGCAGGCGGGCGCACTGCGCATGCGTCATATGGCGTCCACCCGGAGGGATGAGCTGCTCGCCCGGCCGCCTTTGTGCTATTGGTCGGGCGGGAACTGGTTAAAAGCTGAACAGGAAACATGTAAATGCTAAAAAAGTAAAAAACCCAAGAGAGCCCTGAGCGACACCAGACTTAACACATGACCAATTTCCCTCTGGAACCCACCAGAGGGAGAACACAATAGTAACCAGTATGCAAGACTTCAATGAGTTTCAAAAAGTGTTTTGAAATCATTCAACAGCATTCTATATATCAAGAGGACTGGGGTAATGCCAAAAGAAATACAGCCAGTCTAGATTTCTATACGGATTTGATCCAATATACAGATTCACATGTCATATATGCTACCACCTCCCTCTCACTCCCCCTCTCTGTTGGGGTCCCTCAAGGCTCTGTCCTCGGGCCCCTTTCTTCTCCATCTACACCTCTCTCCTTGGCCAGCTCATACACTCTCATGGCTTCAACTACCACCTCTATGCCGACGACACACAAATCTCACTCTCAACCCCCCCCTACCTCACCCCTCGGTCTCCGCCCGTATCACACGCCTACTGAGACGACATATCAGACTGGATGTCACTCCACTTCCTTAAACTGAACCTCTCCAAAACAGAGTTTGTCTTCCCCCCAGCCCGGACACCACCCCCCCATTGACTTCTCCATCACATCCAACAACGCCACCATCAAACCCGCCCTGCAGGCCAGAGTACTTTGTGTCATTCTGGACCCCAACCTATCCTTCCAGCCCCAAGTCCAATCTTTAACAAACTCGTGCAGACTCCACCTCCGCAACATCGCCAAAATATGCACGTTCCTAACTCCAGAAACCACTAAACAGCTCATCCACTCCCTCATCATATCACGACTCGACTACTGCAACTCCCTCCTTACTGGCCTGCCTTGCCGCTAGCTATTCCCGCTTCAGTCAATCCTGAATACGGCTGCCAGACTCATTCACCTTTCCAATCGCTCCGTCTGTCCAATCCCTCCACTGGCTTCCGATTGCGCAATGGATCAAATTCAAAATCCTAACACTGACGTACAAAGCTGTCCACCATACTGCCCCGAACTACATCACTGACCTAACATCCAAGTACCCACCGTCCCGCCCAGCACGCACACTCCGCTCCTCACAAGACCTCCTCCTCTCTAGTTCCCTGATCTCCTCCTCCCATGCTCGCCTCCAGGACTTCTCCAGGGTGTCACCCATCCTCTGGAACTCCCTGCCCCAACCCATCAGATTATCACCTACTCTCCTCTCCTTTAGGCGCACCCTGAAAACCCATCTCTTCAGGGAAGCCTACCCCACCCCCTGCTAACTTGCCGACTTCCTCCACTCTTCCTACCACTCCATCACCCACAGCTCTCTCCTCTCCTGTGCCACCATCCCCTCCCTCCTAGATTGTAAGCTCGAAAGAGCAGGGCCCTCAATCCCGTCATGTTCTGCATTGTATTGGTATTGTTCTGTCACATGTTCTGTCCCCCTTTGTAATGTACAGCGCTGGTGAACGATTGGCGCTTTAGAAATACTGTATAATAATAAAAAAAAAACAAAAAAAAAAAAAAAAAACACACACAAGGGGTCCTGTGCAGTTTGAATTTCATCTTTATAGACTTCAATGGGGACTAGATGGAATCCAGCTGACTGAAGTCAATGGGAGGCAATTTTGCACTGAAGTTAATAGGAGGCTTATTTAACGGTTGAACTGGAGGGACTTTTGTCTTTTTTTTAGCCAGACTATACGTAACTATGTTTTAATATCATCTGATTTGAACTTGAACTGCTGAACAATTCGCATCAGAATCACACCATACACAGAAATCACACTGTGAATTTGCACCAAGAACTTGCAGTCAAAAATAGATGGAATTTACACCACATCAGTGTAAACTGGGCCTTAAACAGAAGCTTTGGGTAGTTGACAAGTATAAAAAAAAAAAAACACACACACACACAAATACAAAGTTTTTTTTTTTTTTTTTTGCAACTTACCCTCCAACATTGTTTTGATAGTTACAGACTGTTTTGCTATTTCAACATCTACCTCAAAAATCTCACCATCAGAAACTCTGCAGCTTTATTGAAGGCATCTGGGGAAGAAAATTAAAAACAAAAAAACCAAACAGCTAAATCAAACCATAAGTCATGTTCAGGTTTCAAGAAAGCAAAAACACACCTACATTCAAATAGAAATCATGAGAAAATCATAGAAAATCTATTACAGGTAATCTTTCTTCTCTAGGCAAGGTCACAACTGCCCATATAAAAATAAACACACCACACACTAAACCAAAACAATGCACATGACCTGTACACTCCCCTAAAGGACCAGAGCTACGGGTGGTTAGTTTGGCAATAAACAAAGTCATACATTGTTTTTCAAGCACAAACAGGCTTTATATTAGTGATATTCTCTAGCAAAAATGATTTTTAATGCAATCCCTAGGAAAAGAAAGCACTTTTTTTTTTTACCAGTGTTAGTTTAACCACATCAATACCAGACACTTTCACCCCAGGCTAATTTTCACAGATCAGTGTTGTCTCACTTTGAATGAGGATTTTTTAATTATGCAACACTGTACTCAAATTACATTTTTAAATCATTTTTATACAGATATAGCTTTCCTTTGATGGTATTTTTATTTCTTGACTAATAAATTATAAAAATACCAAACATTTTGCAAAAAAATAAAAAAAATATCTTAATTTATGCTGTAAAATTTGGCACAAAAATCTTCATAAATAGGCTAAAATGTAATATGCTACATTTGCTAAAAATAATCCAAAATCAGTGTATAATATTTAGTCCCTGCATGAAAGTCAGTGTACGTACGTGTGTGTACGTGTACGTGTGTGTTACACTGCTCAAAAAAAATTTAAAGAAACACTTTGAAAAACACATCAGATCTCAAAAGGGGGAAAATGTCATGCTCGGTATCTATATTGATATGGACTGGATAATCTGTTAGGAATGTAAGGATGCCACACCATTTGATGGAAATTAAGTGACAAAATTATGAAGCAGGCTAGTCCATTTTGCAGAAATTGCATTGCAGCAACTCAAAATGGTACTCAGTAGTTTGTATGGCCTCTACATACTTGCCTGACGTCGGGGCATGCTCCTAATGAGACGGATCGATGGTGTCCTGGGGTATTTTCCTCCCAGATCTGGACCAGGGCATCACTGAGCTCGTGGATAGTCTGAGGTACACAACCTGGCGTCATTGGATGGACTGAAACAGGATATCCCAGAGGTGTTCTATTGGATTTATGTCAGGCAAGTGTGAGGGTCATTCAATGGTATCAATGCCTTCATCCTCCCGGAACTACCTGCCTACTCTCACCACATGAGGACAGCATTTTGTGCACCAGGAGGAACCTAGGACCCACTGCACCAGTGTAGGGTCTGACAATAGGTCCAAGGATTTCATCCCGATACCTAATGGCAGTCAGGATGCCATTGTTTATCCTGTAGAGGTCTGTGTGTCCCTCCATGGATATGCCTCCCCAGACCATCACTGACCCACCACCAAAACGGTCATGCAGAACGATGTTACAGGCAGCATAATGTTCTTCACAGCTTCTCCAGACCCTTTCAGGTCTGTCACATGCTCAGGGTGAACCTGCTCTCATCTGTGAAAAGCACTGACGCTAGTGGTGGACAATCGAGCTCTATGGTGCTGGTCAGTGAGCACAGGGCCCAAGAGAGAATATCGGGCCCTCAGGCCCCCTCATGAAGTGTTTTTGATTGTTTGGTCAGACAGACATTCACACCAGTGGCCTGCTGGAGGTCACTCTGTAGGGCTCTGGTGGCATTGCTCATCCTGATCCTCCTTGCACAAAGGAGCAGATACTGGTCCTGCTGATGGGTTAAGAACCTTCTATGGCCCTGTTCAGCTCTCCTAGAGCCACTGCCCATCTCCCGGAATCTCCTCCATGCTCTAGAGACTGTTGGGAGACACAGCAAACCTTGTGGCAATGGCATGTATTGATGTGCTGTCCTGGAGGAGTTGGACTGCCTGTGTAGAGTCTCTGAATAACCTCTGTATTGCCTCCATGCTATCAGTAGTTACACTGACCCTAGCCAAATGCAAAACTAGTGAAAAACTGTAAGAAAAGAGTAGGGAAAAAATGCCAGTGGCCTCCACCTGTATAACCATTTCTGTTTTGTGGGGGTCGTCTCATTGTTGCCCATCTAGTGCACCTGTTCATTTCATTTACACCAAAAGCAGCTCAAACTGATTAACAACCCCCTCTGCTACATAACTGACCAGATCAATATCCCCAGGAGTGTCTTGACTTTGTGCTATACTCTGATTAAAAAAGCGTTCCTTTAATTATTTTGAGCAGTGTATATTATATTTTACACACACACACACACACACACACACACACACACACACACACACACACTATAATAAATCATATATAATAAAAAATGAGACTGCCCATGTCATTTCTTGAGACCCTCAAGTGCCAGGACAGTACAAGTACCCCCCTAATTGTGTGTTTTTTTTGCACAAAGTTGTCATTGTAAGTTATTTCTCAGACACAGAATAGGCATACTTATAAGCACCTTCAAGCATTCCAGGGGCATCAATTACACATTTGATTTCCCGACTATCACATTCTTGGAGGCCCCTGGAGCACCAAGACAGTACAAATATCTACACAATGACCACATTTTGGCGAGCAAAGCATCCCCACAAAGTTTTTTTTGTTTTTTTAAGAGGAATGGTGAGTACTTTAAAGACTTTGCCACATTTTTTGGAAAAAAGCAGAAATAAAATAAAGATTTCCACATGCAGCATAGAATTTTACCCCAAAATGCATTCTAACCATTTCTCCTGTGTATGGTGATACCACATATGGAGACTTCTCTTTTTGGACGGATTATATACTGGACATTGCATCTTGTGTACCACACAAATCAACCAATTGTGTCAAAAGCAATGCATTGTAATGGTGTGGTAGTGATCAGAGATTATGGTTGGAAAAACTGACAAAACAGCGATATCAGAGCAGCCAGCCACTGTACATTATCACTACCACAGCAGTACGTCACCCTAATGACAACACACTTGCTCTGGTGACCCTATGTAAAAGATCTAATTGGCCGTGCGGGAAGAGTTTAACAGTCAGGAATAAGAAACCATACGAATATCCCTTCAGAAACGCGTTACATCTTCCACGCGTTTAAGGTAGAACATGTAACATGTTCCCGTTCCTGCAGCTCTCAGCCCTGATCAGTACCAGGAAAGGGGCCCTGTGACAGTGGGCCAGGGATGTTTTCCCTGAAGTCACAATATAAAAAAAAAAAAAAAAAAAAAAAAAAAATAAAAAAAATGCGGTCGAGCAGGGCTTCGCCACCCAGCCGCATCACTCATTTTATAGAGTTCTGTGAATAACAGTAGTTATTGCTCTCCCAGTCTTTACGATTGACAGCTTGTAGTTCTCTGAACTACCAGGGAGCTGGTGAGTGCTCTAGGTAGTTCATTAATCCTTCCGCTCATTGTGTAACTGCCTGCTCATATGAGGAATGAGCAGACAGCTTACAATGACAGTCTGCTGGAGTCCTGCATTACACCCACAATCTGCCGATTGCGGGTGCAGTGCTCTGAAGACTAATAAAATAAATAAATGCACTTTTTATACCTGCAAAAAAGATGTGCATTTAGTTTTTATTTCTTACAAAAAGGTGACCTTAACCCTTTTGCTGCCAGAGCCATTTTTTTGCATTTTTGTCCGTTCTCCCCCCCCCCCCCCCCCCCCCCCCCACACATAAAAAAAAAAATAATTTTAGGCCTGAAGATTAAGCAGAAACATACATTTTCTGAAAGCAGACACCCCAGAGAATAAAATAGTGGTAGCTCCATTTTTTTTTTTACGACACACATTACTGCAAAGGTCTAGGAAACGCAAAATTTCAGTAAATACACAGAAGTGAATTTTATGGCAAAATTACCCACATTTTTGATAAAATATAAAAGCGGAGGTTGCCCTGAGTAAATAAACATGCCAAACCTTAAATTTGTGTGCGCCTATGACATAGCGGCAAACTTCAGTACCCTATATTTTTATAGGCTCACTCCAGCGTACGCTGCATAATGTAACGTGTAACGCAATCAAGGTTTTCACACATAGACACCCTGCCATGTTTGTTTACGTTATGTGCGGACCATATTTTTGAATGTCTCATCTGGGCTCCAGTGGAGACTGCATTGCAATACATTGTTTCTTGGTTGTGGTAGCCAAAAAAGTGACGGGTGATCCGAATCAACGTCACACACCACTTCTGGGTCACAGAAAAAAAAAAAAAAACTGTACAAACATCTGCTGTCTGCTCTCCCCTCCATCTGCTGACACCCGCCATGGCGCTTTCCAGGAGCGCATGCGCGGGGGTCATCAGTACCACGGGCTGTGGAAGTGATCTGGCTGCAGCCACCAGATTGTGTATACCCCCCCGCTGTAAGGTCCATAGGACGTACAGACACCTGGCGGAGAAAGGGTTACTTGCTCAATTAGGTCCAAACCACTGGATGTGGGAATGTCAAGGAACAGACCACTGCTGGAACACCATCTGCTGCAGTAGCAGAGGAACAAGCCAAGTAAAAGCTATACACGGAGCACAACCCATTCTTACAGAAATCGTCCCGGTATCAAAATGTTCTAGCAGGGATGTGCAAATCCTATCGCCCAATGCCCAGGACATGTAGTTCTGGGCAGGTTGTTTTTGTTCCTTCACTCAGCCCTGCTGCGGGGGCAAGCAGCAGGGCTGTCGGTAAACACAGGCAAAACGGTTGCAGCTGTGCTTGGTGAATGTAACACTCGTCCAGCCAACACACTCCCTCCCCTTTCCCATTTGTAAATTGGGAAAGCATCTGATCACACCGATCTTGGTTTGATTAGATAATGTAAGGGCAGAGGAGATATCTAGAGTCTCACAGACCCCAGATTTCTCAAAGAATATATGACAATGCCCATTGAAGTTATAGGGGATATTTGCATTTCCTGTGATAGCATTAAAAGTGATAAAAAAAAAGATGTCATTTTCCAGAAACCTGTGGAAAAAAAAAAAAAAAAAAATCTT